ACAATTAACTGTTTGACCATGATTTGAGCTCGAATCACTCTTTTTTTATTTATTGTTTATTACTTATACACAGCTAGGTAGGGCGTGTGTTCATAAACAATATATAACAGCCAAAATAATATCTGATTAAATTGGATATTTACCATCCCTACCGTTATTCACAAGATAAATATAGCATCAAACCTGGATTGGCATATAATATAAAATCCCAACACACTTCTCCAGGGACCACTACACCACTGGGTGTTACACCCCACTGGCTCAACAAAGAAACCCAAGAAAATGTATACAAGGAAAAGTGACAGAGCTTTAATAACTCCTCTAAAATATTTTCTTAGTTGACTGTGGTGAAACTGTTTATTATTAATACAAGGAAGGCTCAATGGTGTTAATTAAATCCATTTGTAGCATATTGCATTAAAACATGTTGAAAACACATAAAACACATGATTATAATGGGGCAAACAGCTATTGGGAAGAACTCTGAAATAATAAACTCAAGAAATCACAGTTACCAGTTCAGCACAAGTCAACTGTTCTGACTGGACAAGTCAGACTGGTCTTCTGCTTGGAACAACTACAGAATAGTTTAAAGTAGGATCATAAGCCTGATGAACTAACTGTCCTGATGCCTTTTTGAGGTGTACTTTCTATCTTAAAAATCATAAAACAAATTTTGTCCCTCTCTCATTGCAGCAAATAAAGCAAAGCTACTCTCTCTCTCAATTGCATTTGCCGTTGTATATAAGAGTCTGCACGTCAGAAGTATCTGCTCACGCTTTTTTTTAATGCTTTCCATAACAACCGACTTCCCTAAGCAAAAGGATGAGGTGTTGGCAGGTTTAAGATACTCAACTGGTATGAAAAAAATTTGCAAAATCTAATGCTCCAAGGCTTTCTGAAAATCTCTTTAGGACATATTTTCTTGTCAGTGGTGTTATTGTACAATTTAGAAGTCCTAAAAAAAGCCCAGAATCTTCCCTTAATTGCATCATTATGTTTGTCATGAGTATAGCTTAGATTTTATTTTGTTCATTACCTTTGTTTTTGATGGCAGATGAGGTGATGGCAACATGAGAAGGTATCTCACAGCCTGAAGGGATTTGACACATGATGTCGGCTGTCCCGTAGGGAAAGCGAAAGTGGTCACTGTGGATGCTGATGATGGCTTTAGAGATCTGCAGCTGATCCCGGCAGAGAAGGTGGCACCAAAGGTCTATTTTCTCACTGCGCAACACTATTGCAATAACTCGAATCTGTGATAAAGAAAAAGATGGTTTACACATTATCTACTTTTTTGTTTATAAATTGCAAATATTTTCAGCATACAATGACAATTTAGAGTGAATCAAAAGGTTTGCTGATAACAGGTATCTTCTTCAATTTATATCTATGTCAGGAATCCAGTGTTGGGATCTGGAGGTTTACCACCTTTCTCCAGCAGAGTGCGCCGTGGGTCTCCTGGGCTGGAGCCTCCAGCACACCTGAAGCTCGTCAGCCCATCAGGAGACCTTCCTACATAAGCAGCAGCCAGACCTTCCTTCAACGCCGCAGTGTTGACCAAGTTTGGTTAGCGAACCTGAGCCTCTGTTATTGAAAAAGAATCTTAGTTGTCTCTAGAGAGAAACCTGATTCTANTGTTGGGATCTGGAGGTTTACCACCTTTCTCCAGCAGAGTGCGCCGTGGGTCTCCTGGGCTGGAGCCTCCAGCACACCTGAAGCTCGTCAGCCCATCAGGAGACCTTCCTACATAAGCAGCAGCCAGACCTTCCTTCAACGCCGCAGTGTTGACCAAGTTTGGTTAGCGAACCTGAGCCTCTGTTATTGAAAAAGAATCTTAGTTGTCTCTAGAGAGAAACCTGATTCTAACCTGCCTCTGTCTTCTGCTCACAAGAAAACCGTTAAGTCTAGAAGCTCTGGATGAGCTTCCCATGCAAACCTGCCTGCCTGCCAAAGGAGCCAAACCTGAAGATTTCAATCTGGACTCCTCCTGTTGCTCTCAAGGAAGAGCTGGAAACTCAAATCAAGGTCTACCACTCACAAGTCAGAAGCTAGACGCCGCTGCTGCTGAGCACTCTGCTGAACCAACTGCCTCTGGACCCAAAACTCACAAAGATTAGTCTGGACCTCTTCAAGGTATATTCAGAATAATCTAAACTCAACTAACCATCCGTCTGCCTGGCTAATCAAACTATCCGTCTCTGCAGACATCAGTGAATCCAGCCCCGGACCAGTGCCTGAACCAGTTCATGTTCTATTTTGTAAAAACCTTTCAATAAACTCTGTTAAACTTTTACTCTGCTTCCAGTGGTGTTCTGCATGTGGGTTAAGTCTCTTAAGCCAATCATGACATCCAGTTTGTGTGGTCTATTTTTGTGTTTCCTTTCCTCCTCCACCAGGTGGTGCCCCGTCCTCACTGGGTCTCCCTGCACACCTGCAGCTCATTGCCTCATTACCTGTGGAGTATTCTTAAGCTGCTGACTGCCACTAACTTGAGGCCAGAGTGTTTGCCAATACAGGGTACTCAAGCCATGCTTAGTTTAGCAGAGTCTAATCTGAGTTTTTGTTTTGCCAGTTTTGGGTTCTCTAGCCAAGCTGAGTTTCGTTGAGTCAAACTGAGTTTTTGTCAAGCTGAGTCTTAACTTTGTTCTTGTCTTTGCCTCTCGGCTGGAAGTCATCCTGCAAACTAGATTTGTTCGGACCTTCTCTNACCAGTGCCTGAACCAGTTCATGTTCTATTTTGTGAAAACCTTTCAATAAACTCTGTTAAACTTTTACTCTGCTTCCAGTGGTGTTCTGCATGTGGGTTAAGTCTCTTAAGCCAATCATGACAGAACACTGCGGCCAAACACAAAACCCAGCAGATCACCTCCGGAGGAGGCTTGAGGACCAAGCTGCCCAAATCCAAGGACATGCACACACCCTCCGTGAGTTAAACACTCATATTGAACACCAGAACCAAGTTTTGCAGGAATACGTTGGCTACATGAGGAATGCTAATGCCACGCCAGCAGTACTTCCTGTTCCGGAGCCACTTCCGCCTCGTCATTTCCGGAATTCCGCCCGAGTCCTCCTGAAAGATTTTCAGGTAACCAAAAGGATTGTGAGGGATTTTTGTTTCAGTGTCGTTTGCTTTTCGAGCACTCCCCCGTCAGTTTTCCGAATGATAGGAAGAAAATCTCCTTCATTCTCTCTCAACTTACTGGACGAGCCCTTGAATGGGCGGATGCAAGGTTCTCTTCTGAGTCCAGCTTTTCATGTACTTTTTCTGAATTTATATCTGAGTTTTCTCAAGTTTTCAACCATGACTCAGACAAAACTATTGATTCCCGAGCCCTGCTGAGTTTGAAGCAGGGAAATTCGACAGTGGCTGAGTTCTCCATTGTCTTCCGGGTTAAAGCCGCAGCCTCAGGCTGGAACGAGTGCGCACTTAAGAGTGCTTATTTTAAGGCTTAAAATGATAACATCAAAGACGAACTCGCCACAATCGACGAACCTGCTAGTTTGGAGGATTTAATCCGATTAACCATCAGATTGGATAATAGACTTCGGACTAGAAATAACTCTAGGCAAAGAAGCCTGAATTTTTTCTGTTTCTGCTCCTGCATTTAATAATGCTTCAGTTTTTTCTAGATCCCCAGAACCCAGAACCAAGCCAAAGACTAAGAATCAGACTCTTCCAGCGCCTGTCCAAATCTCTCCCTTCTCTTCCTCAGAAGGAACGGAGGTCGAACCCATGCAAATTGGACACACAAGGCTATACCCTGAAGAAAGAAAACAAAGATTTAGAGGAAATCTGTGTCTGTACTGTGGTGAGACTGGCCATTTCATTGCATCATGCCCGGCTAAATCAAAAGCCAGGGCCCGTCAGAGGATTTGAGGAGTCTGACGGGCCATCTAAGATCTGAGAAAACTCCTCATTTATTGTTGCCTGCAACCCTTTTTTTTCCTAACCAGAATCTCACATTATCAGCATTCATCGACTCTGGGTGTGAGAGAAATCTCATTGATTCAGATCTGGTCCAGCAGTTAAAGATTGAGACTGTTCCATTAACAAAGCCTCTCAGAGTATCTGCTATCGATGGAAAGAAGCTTCATCAAGTCACTCATCAGACACAACCTTTAGAACTTATTATCTCTGGAAACCATCGTGAGACGCTAACATTTTTTGTTTTTCCCTCAGCATGCTCTCCCCTGGTGCTTGGATTCCAGTGGCTGGAACGTCACAACCCCCATATCAATTGGGCTGAACGCCACATTGAGTCTTGGTCCACTTCCTGTCACGAGTCATGTCTTCGTTCTGCAGCTCCTACTATTCAGTCCCCTAGAGGTAGGGGGGAGATGGACT